TGTGTGTGTGTGTGTGTGTGTGTGTGTGTGTGTGTGTGTGTGTGTGTGTGTGTGTGTGTGTTCTAGCATGGGCTACATTGAAAGGCCCATTTTTTTCGAAACATACTACCTTGTGAGGACCCACTGCTCCTTATGTGTCCCAAAGCCCCGGGCTCCATAAGTTCTAATGTCGTTTCTGGGGCGGGGTTAGGGTTAGGCTAGAGAAATGAATGGAAGTCGATGGAAAGTCCCTGTGAAGACACAAAGTTGTGTGTATATGTGTGCGCCAGGTTTTTGTTACGTCATGGGGACCACTTTTRCGATACACCSTGCCTTKTGGGGAAAAACYGCTCCTTATGGGGACCAAAGCCCGGTACCCATGAGTGTAAATGTCACTGAGGGGTTAGGGCAGGAGTGGGACTCRTGACTCTGACTTAGACTTGAGTCACGCTTAAGTCCCTACTATTASACTTGACTTGGACCCTAAAGACTTGAGACTTAACTCAGACCCGTGGTTTGAGACTCGCAACTAATGTCTTTTCACTGCCCGGCTCACGATGCTCACTCCTTCAATACACATCTATGCTCCGCCCCCGCCCCCCCACCTAAAAAGGGGAGGGGCCAGTGCCGTCCAGTGTTAATGACGTGTACCCTACCTGACAAACAGAGCTTCAGCGAGACTTGATTGAACACCATGACGAGACTGGCTAAATGCAAAGTGTGTGTGGAGTCCAAATCAGACATTTGGTTTTGTGATGACTTGTGCAGCTCTTTTATTTTAAGGATTCTGCTTCATCATCTTCACTGACATGTTTTATGCATTTAAAATATTTTTTCTGGTATTTTTATTGTAAAATCAGCAGCAGACTTGTTGAATTTGTTCTTTGCCAATAGTAAGATGTAATTATATGTAATTAAAGTACGCTTTTGTAAGACTACAAGTGCAAAATACAGTTAATACTTTAAATGCTTGATTGTTATCTGTATTTTTAAAACAGTAAAACATAATACTGTGTTTTAATATTTATTAAAACATAGTTTTATAGAATACAATCTAGTAAAGTTAGAATATCTTTGATCAAACTGCCAGTTAAGTGATACATGCAACGAGACTTGGACTTGAGGTTAAGAGACTTGAGACTTGACTTGGATTATTGGTCAAAGACTTGAGACTTGGAGCCAAAGACTTGACTTGGACTTGCAAAAAAAAGACTTGTGCACATGGACTAAGGT